TCTCCCTATCTTATTGGTGAGATGAGTGAATAGGAAATGACCATCAAACAGTTCAATCAGTTGGAGATTAGCCTGTATTCTGTGAACTGAAAACTTGAAAATGAATACCTTCTTGGAAATGTTTCATATAAACAAGAGAAAAGAGCTCCACTCTTGGTTTTGTTGTTGGATGGATTATGACTCATAGCAACCCCCTGAGTGACAAATCCGAACCCTTGTCCTATCCTGAGCCATCCCCGTGAGCTCTGCTGTGTTCAAGCCCAGAGCTACAGCCACTGTGTCAATGAGTCTGACTGGGGACGTCTTCCCGATTCCCCATCTTCCCCAGCATAATACATCCCCCAAAGATTCGTCTCTCCTAACAACATGTCCAAAGTAAGAAAGAGAAAGTTTTACCATCCTTGCCTGGTGGCCTAGTGGTAAGAAGCAGTGCTACAATCCTGGAGGTGCTTGGTTCAAATCCACCAGCTGCTCTGTGGGAGTAGGATGGACAATCTCCTCCCATGTGATTAATTGCCTTTTAAAACCCACCAGAGGGTCAGCTATGGGTCGGTTCTGATTTGATGGCAAACAGTAACAACATCTTTGCCTCTAAGAAGCATCCTGATTACACTTCCTCCAAGACAGACGTCTCACTTCCTCCAAGACAGACGTGTTTGTTCTTTTGGCTGTTGTTGTTGTTGTGATGGTGGTGGTGGTGGTGTGCCTTAGAGTTGACTGTGAGCACAGTGACCTCATGAACAATGGTTCTGAAACCTGCCCTATCCTGTGCCATTCTCACCATTTCCAACACACTTGAATCCATTGTAACAGTCTCTGTGCCAATCTATCTTGTCGCGTCTTGTTCTTTTAAACTGACCTTTTCAAGCATTTTGTCCTTCTCAAAGGACTGGCCCCTCCTACCAAATAAACACACAAATTATCTGAGATGAAATTTCACCATCCTTTTATCCAAGGAGCACCTTGGGATCATTTTCTCCAAGACAGATTGGTTTGTTCTCTTGCTGGTATATAGAATATTCAATACTCTTCTCCAGCACTACAACTCAAAGGCATAGACTCTTCTGTTATCTTTAGTCATTGCCCAACTTTTATATGCATAGCAAGCAACTGAGAAGACCATGGTTTGGATCAGGTGCACCTTAGTCTTTAAGCTGATATCATTCTTCTTTAGTGCCCTAGAGGGGTACCTGACAGCAGATTTCCCCAATAAAACTCGTCTTTTGATTTCTTGACTTCTGGTACCAAGGATATTGATTGTAAATCAAAACAAAGTGAAATTATTGACTACTTTAATCTCATCTCCATTTATCATGATGCTGTCTATGGGCCTGACATTTTCTTTTTCCTACCTTGATGTTGAGATGTTATGTATATTAAAGGCTGTAATGCTTGATCTTCAGCAAATGCTTCAAGTCTTCTTCACTTTCAGCAAACAAGATTCTATCATCTGCATAACGTGAATTTTTGATGAATCTTCCTGTGATCTCAGTACCACATTCTTTACTTCATAGAGTCCAGCTTTTTCTAATGATTCATTGAGCATAGAGATTGAATAGGTATGGAAAAAAGAATATAGCCCTAATGCACATCTTTCTTGATTGTAAACCATATAGTCTTCCCTTGCTCTGTTTAGCCTCTTGGTCTAGGGGTAAGTTTCTCACAATCACAGTAAAGTGTTCTGGAGTTCTCGTTCTTCTAAGTGCTAGTCATAATTTTTGTTGGTCCACACAATCAAATGCTTCTTTTCCCTTTCACAGTTTTCAGCTCTATACTTCAGATGCTGTAAATATTCCATAAATATCTGTTGCATGGATGAATACAGGCAGAATCCTGTATAGCCTGTAAATGATCATCTAACAGTTTTAGAAATTGTGGATTTGCCTGTATTCTGTGAGCTGGAAGACTAAAAGAAATATCCTCTTGGAAATGTAAACAGGAAGCAATCTCACTCTTTCTCCTCCCCCATATGCTCCCTGCTCTTAATTCCAGCTCAACTATCATAAATACATTATCATGTAAAAGTCCTTAAGTATGCTATCATTGTTTGTTTCTACATTAAACACTCATTGATACATTCTTTCTGCCTCTCAATACCTCTGAAACACTTGGATTTTGAATGCAGATTTCACAATCCAATGAGAAGATAGTATGCCTTTTCATGCCTGAACAGCGCACTGAAGTTAAACCATGGCACTAAAGCCTGGCTGGAACACTTTGCATCCAATCAGATTAAACCAGATTAATTGTATATTTACTTTGTAACTGAACGTATGAGTGCTTTGAATACCTTAGGTTTGTTTTTATTCTAGACGCTAAAAAAATTGTATCAAAGGTGGACTGGGGAGAGGAGGGTCAAATTTTTCCTCTGACCATTGATCAGTGTGTTTTGGCTGGGAGTGGAAAGTAGAATAAAATTTATCTTGGGAGAAATAGTGTTAAAATTTATCCTTGAATTATTGACTATGATAATCCTATGAAGCTTAATCCAGAAGATGAAAATGCCTGTTATATTGTGTTCCTAGCTAGACCACCCTAATTTTCTAGAAAGGCTGGGTGAACTGAGATGATGTTGTTATGTGCTGTCGAGTCTCCTGCGACTCATAGCGACCCTATGTACAACAGCCCTAAACCCAGTTCTGTCCTATGCCATCTTATTGTCTCTGACATGCCTATTTCCATTACCCCAGTCACTGAATCAAGAGGATCTTCCTCTCCTTTGCCGTCCCTCCACCCTCCCAAGCATGACGTCCCTCTCCAAGGACTGGTTCCTCCTTGCAACATGTCCAAAGTATGTCAGGAGAAGTTTCAGAATCCTTGCCTGCAAGGAGCAGCCCAGCTTCACCCTCTCCAGGATGAACCTGTTCATTCTCTCAGCAGTCCATTCAATACTCTTCTCCAACACCACAGCTCAAAGGCATCAATTTTCCTTCTATTCACCCTAGTCATCTTCCAGTTCTCTGATGCATAACAAGTGGTTGCAAAACGATGGCCTGTATCAGGTGCACCATAGTCTCCAGAGTGACACCGTTGTTCTTCAGTATACTGGAGAGGTCTCTAACAGCAGACTTTCCCATCACAATACATCCTTTAATTTCCTGGCTGCTGGTGTCATGAGTGTTGACTGTAGACCCAAGCAAACGAAAGCTGTTAACAATCTCATTTCTTCACCATCTATCATGATGCTGCCCAGTGGTGAGAATCTTTGTTTTCTTCATATTGAGCCTTAATCGATATTGAAGGCTGCAGTCCTTGACCTTCCACAGCAAGAGCTTTAGGTCCTCCTCAGTTTCAGCAAGTAGGGTTGTGTCATCTGCATAATGCAGATTGTTGATGAGTTTTTGTCCAATCCTGATGTCACATTTCTCCTCATAGAGCCCAGCCTCCCAGATAATGTGTTCTGCATAAAGAATGAAAAGGTATGTAGAAAGGACACATCCCTGGCATACACCTTTCCCAGTTTTGAACCATGCAGTGTTTCCTTGTTCTGTTCTGATGACTGCTTCTTGGTCCAAGTATAGGTTTTGCATTAGCACGATCAAGTGTTCTGGGATTCCCATTCTTCTCAGAGTTGGTGAACTCTTGGATTATGCTAATCCAAGCCTCCCAGATCTTTTGACTAGCATCTCTCTATGTTGTTGTGTATCGCTGAGTCTCAACTGACCCATACCTGACCCTCTGGTAGGTTTTCAGAGGTAGTTAATCACACAGGAGCAGATTGTCCATCCTTCTTTTGCTGAGAAGCTGGTGGATTCGAACCATGAGTCTTTGAGTTTGCAGTGCAGCTTCTTGCCCCTAGGCCACCAGAGGAATCCTGGAAATCCAGTGGCTTTTTGTGTGTTGACCTCATTTACAAGAACCATCAGTGTTGCTTCTCTGGGATAGGTGGTCCTTGCTGTGGAGCTTGGAGGGGCGAGACCACACAAAGAAAAGAACTTGTTGAACCACCACAGTGTATAGTTTTAGGATATGTGCTGGAAAAAAGATGAGATGGCATGGAAGCATCAATTATTTGTAACAACAACAACAGGTTGTTTGCATAGAGTGGAAGTCTGCTTAAAGGAGTGGTTTAGCCCCCCCCCCAGAGAGAGAGCATGGGACTGCAGGCCGGGGCCTGGAGCCTCCTCTCTGGGAGTTTGGCTGTTTGCTAACATCTTGATGGCAGTCCTGTAGGCCACATAAAGCAAGCTTTTGGGGTCGTGTTTGATGTGTAGTACTGCTCTTACCCCCCTAGAGAGGGTGTCCTTGAACCTTTGCCTAGGGTGGAGGTCTGCTCAAAGGGGTGGCTTTAAAACTGCAGGCTGGGACCTGGAGCCTTCACTCTGGAAGTCTGGCTGCTTTCTCACATCTTGAACAACAGGTATTGTTTGGATATTCAAAACAGAATGCTGCTTCTGACATGCAGAGCAGTCCTTGTGGGGACAATGGGTCAGAATATTAGGCTTGTGAATTATAGTAGTTACAGGTTTACTCTCATTCACTGTCATATTATGATGCATGGTGACCCACAGAGTGCTTCTGAGACTGTCCTGGGAGACTGTTCTGTTCTCCCTTGGAGCAGCCTCTGGATTTGAACTGGTGGAGACACACAGGCTTTTGAATGGTCAATTGGAATGCTGGGCCTCTGGTGGCCTAGTGGCAAGAAGCTGCACTGCAATCCCAAAGGCACATGGTTCTAATCCACCAGCTGCTCTGCAGCAGAAGGATGGACAGTCTCCTCCTTTGTGATTAACAGCCTCTGAAAACCCACCAGAGGGTTGGCTGTGGCTCGGTTCTGACTCTATAGAACAGCAACAACATTTATATTAATTAGTGTGTTGTTGTTGTTTTTTTTTTTTCATTTTGGAAATAAGTGTTAGCTTGTGCAAGTTTGAATACAGAAGTGAACTTCAAGTGCATTTACTGTGAATGCTGGAGCCCACACAAACCAAGTGAAGCTTCTCCCTCTGGTTTGCTTTGCCAGGACTGAGATGTTAATTCTGGGGCGTTGATGTTCTACAATGCCTGATCAAGACAAAAAGGTGAAGAGCACAGAGAAATCAGCCGAGAGAAACCAGGAAGAAGTCACCACCAGGTAACCGTGCCCTGAGACTTTGTAACTGTTACCTTAGACAATGAAACAACCAGTCAATCTTTGACAAGTGCTACTCTGAGTTACAGTGTTTACTGAGGCATTTGGTTATTTCTAGAGTCCCCGAGGAGGAACCGTGTAGAGTGAATGGTTCATATACACTGTCATGGCAGACCTTCAAATGGCAGCTCTCTTAGTGGGTAACAAGACTTTGTTCATTGGAGCAGTTGGCTGGTTGATAACTGTGCTATTTTTTTTTCCTCCTAGGGATTATTCAGATCTTAAAAGACTTCGGTGCCTTCTGAACGTCCAGTCAAGTAAACAACAGGTAGCATTTTAAAGGTTGTGCATAATTCAATAAAATTGAAGTCATGGGTTTCCCAGAGGAGCCTGTTAACATTTTTTGAATGTTATGTCTGCTTTTCTTTGTCCTGCCATGTATTTTCTATTCCTTCACCATTTATTTCTCCACTCCCCTGGTCAGACTTTGCCCAGACTTTGCACCGCTCCTGCTTTCACGCTTCTATCATGCCTGGGCCTTGCTTTGTCTTAAGTGTATTGCTGTGCATCCCAGTTACCAAAGCTTTTACTTTTCAGTCCACAAATAGTGTACTTCTTCTGAATGTCTGCTTAGCTCTCCAGAACTCTAGAGAAGTTGACTTTTTCTGAATACTGTTCACCGTATTGATGTCCTTCTTCCCTCAGTAAGGCGCCCCCTCCCTTTGCTGTAGTGCAAGGAATTAGAGTTCTGGAATCCAATGACATTTGGTTTTACCCTCACACCTAACAGGCAGCAATGATGCTTCCTTATGAATGCGTGAGAATTTCTGAAAACACTAGTCACCAGGAAGAAGGGACTGACAGGAGAATGACATTTTCTTTACAGACCGCAGGGATGAATGTGTAATAAATTATCCTTAGTGATATAAGTTAGTCATTCCAGCACAGTTATAGTATCAGACTACTCTTGATGAAAATCTGAGGAAGGATTTACAGGCAGGTCAAATCCGTCTTGGAGGTTTCACAGGGATGGGAAGGGAGGGAGACAGGAGTAGAAATTCTTAACTAGGTAAGTTTGGTGTAGAAAAAGGCAATGAATAATAAAGGGTTCATTAGAAGTTGTAATTAATTATGTTAATCAATGGCAATTAATGTAATGAAACAAAATATTTACGAATGGTTACATTAAAAACCAGTATGATTTGTATAATTTTACCCAAATAATAAATTAGTTTTAATAAACAGCTTAAAAATAAATAATGGGATAATGTATCCTCCCAAAATACAAATGCTGAAGCTGTTGATCCTCAATATTACTCATTGAAAAATATTTCTGAACAAGATGATTTTTAAAAGAAGAAATTAGTTTGTATTTTCTGCTAAAAAGTAGACATGCACGTGAGTGTGTACACCTCCCCCCCATATACATCCATACACACCCTACACATTTTCTTCTGGGGTCTATTGCAAACTGTATCTTAACAAAAAAAAGAAGGTAAAGGAATGATTTGGGGTTGTTATTATAATTAAAAAACACATTAAACTTATTCCCATCTAATCGGAAACGGCTCAGAGCTGACCCTCCAGCGGGTTTTCAGAGACTTTGCATTGCACCGGAGGAGACTGCCCATCTTTCTGCTCTGGAGCAGCTGGTGGTCTTGAACCACGTGCCTTTAGGTTGGCAATGCAACTCCTTCCCGCCAGGCCACCAGGGTGCCATTTGAAAAATGTTTGTTATTCAGGAAAAGAATGGTGTGTGGACTTTAATTTATCTTTAATGGTTTGGTTTTTCTGTTTGTTTTGTTTGATTGGCATCTCTAAATCTTTGAAGGTTTGTGAAATTGGAGGTTTGGGGCACAGCTCCTCAGTGCTAATAATGATAATATCAGGGCTTTATCATATGGTGAGGGCAGGAGCCTCCGGAGTCCCTGCTGTGCTTGTTTATGCCTCCTTTGATGCTCAGGTGGTTGCTATCCCAGCCCTGATGACTTTGGTCAAATCAAGCAAGTTTTTCTAGAGAATGAAAACATTTTTATCTATTTAATTATAGTAGGAAATGAATTCCTAATGACTTAATGATGTATGCTGTTATTGTGTACCATTGAGTCAGAACTGACCCATAGCTGACCCTCCAGTAGGTTTTCACAGGCAGTTTATCCCACGGGAGGAAATCGCCCAGCCTTCTCTCACCACGGAGCAGCTGGTGGCCTCAAACTTCATGCCTTCAGGACTGCAGCATAGTTTCTTGTCAGTAGGCCACTAGAGCTCATATAGAAGCCCAAAGTGATATTAGAGGAATTACTGATATTAGAGGAATTATTTTTGTAAAATTTTTAAAATTTTTATTATTTTTGTGTGTGTACCATCAAATCGGATCTGACAGGTACAGGAAGAGATTGTCTCTCCTTCTCCAGCAGAGCATCTATCTGGTGGATTCAAACCACACACCTCTGGGCTTGCAGTGCAGCTTCTTGCCACTCGACCACCAGAACTCGCCAAGGAATTCTTTTTCTGCACCTGACACTTAAGTAGTGTTTCCCTGTGTACTTATCACAAAGTTCATGTTTACAAAAGAGGAAACTGACGAGTGGTTAACGTAGTCTCCAAAGAGCACACAGACAGCTTGCTAATGGAACATAGTCCTGAATGTAAGCATCACCCCTCACCAAGTGTGTCTCTAACCATTGGGACTGAGGGTGCAGAGAATTAACTCAGTACAATCTTTCTAGCCATAGTCCTTGTAACTCCCACCAAAAGGCTGGGTAAGATCATGCAAATGAGGTGCTTATGGGCCATCGAGGTGATTGGTTAGCTTGCTAGTAATACAGATAAGGGGCATGGCTCTCTCATGGGTGGTACCATGCAAATAAAGCAGTACGGCACGCCAATGAGGGCTCAGTTTTGCCATTCCACCAGGCTGAAAAGAGCAAATCGCAGAGACCAGGAAGTGCCCAAGTGCCCCCAGGTAGAGAAAGGAGCAGAGTGTATTCTTTGAACCCAGCCTCCCTGTGCTGGGAACCTCCTAGACAGTGAACTGCAACACTGAGATGCTGGGAGACGGTGAGAAGCAGTGACAGCAACAGCTGCGGTGCAGGAGCCCAGGAAATGACTCTCTGGTGGGCGTCCTGACCCGCGGAGTCAAGAGCTGAGCTGCCCGGAGCAGGAGACTCGCTGGCCGACTGGGGCGCCTCTGGGAACTTCCTGTCAGAGATACTTATTGGCAGAACTTTCTGGAGTAGGATAAACACTAAGAGGCCGAGAGGCTGAGGACCAGAGAGGCCTGTCTGTGGGCATGCCTGAGTAGAGGCCATCTGGCTGTAAAAGTGTCCTGAGTCATACCTGGTCCTGAATTGTAACCTCTCACCTCCCCTAATAAGCGCCATAACTGTGAGTATCGTCTCTGAGCTCTGTGTAGCCGTTGCAATGAGTAACCACAGCCAAGCAGAGATGTAGGTCTGGCGGCCTTGAGGTTAAGAAGCTGTGCTGCAATTCTGAAGGCACGGGGTTCAAATCCACTAGCTGTTTTGCAGGAGAAAGCTGGGCAGTCTTGTCCTGTGGGATTAACTGCCTCTGAAAGCTCACTGGAGGGTCAGCTGTGGGTCAGTTCTGACTCGCCGGCACACTGCAGTCATCACAGGAGGGTATCTGAACAGGGGAAGAGGGTGGAGAGAGGCAGAGCTCTTGGCCTCCACTTTATAGAAATCAGCCTTGGGTTGTTGATGGTGATTCTCTCCTCTTAAAGGGCAAGGAGGCCAGGTGCCTCAGCCGGGTCATTTGCATTGTGTACAGTACAGTTGCAACCGACCCATAGCAGATTCTGCAGTGGGTTTTCAGAGGCAGTTAATCACACGGAAGGAGACTGCCCATCTTTCTCCCACGGAGCAGCTGGTAACCTCGAACCGCATGCCTTCGGGATCACAGCGCAGCTTCTTGCTGCTAGGCCACCAGAGCTTTCTTAAATATTAGAATTCTTTTTCGAGTATTTGGATATTAACATTGAGCTCGAAAGGTATTTGACTGTCAATTCACAGTAAACCTGGGTCTTAACATTTCCCCTATCAATCCCATCTTCTCCCTTTATGAAATTATCATGCATTTGTCATTTTGAAATAATAAATGCTGGCCTGGTAGCTCAGTTCATTAGTAGCCCAAAGGCAGCACCTCTCTGGCATTGTGAATCCAGCAGCTTTTGGGGAAGAAAGATGGGTCATCTCCTCCCATACGATTTATACTGCCTAAAGGTTTGCAGAAGTCAACATTGAGTCAGTGGGAGTCACTCGATGGCAGTGAGAGTATTCTGAATGTCTGTTGTCCTTTCTGTAAAATAATGTAGAGACATTAAGAGGAGGAGAAAAAATACTGGGCAAAAGAAACCAAGAATCTATTTCTGCATTGCTTCTTCCATAAAGAATCGAAGGAGGCATGGGTTCCTCTTGGTGCACTTCAGCTTGAGTATTATCAGGGAGGCTGCAAGGAAGGTTCTGTGCTCTTGAAAACCCTGTAGAATAGTTCCACTCTGCACACACTGTCACCATGAGTCAGAAGTGACTGCATGACAACTAACAACAAGAGGATGTGTGGTTGCCAGTCCTTTCTTCCAGGTAACCTCTGGGTTGATGCAAACCTTTCAGTTAGTAAATCATGTGTGCTCAACGGCCTCCCACATAGTAGTTCTCTTGAGCCTTGATATCTTGACATCTTGAGATATCATCTCACTCCAGTAAGAATAACAAAATTTAACAGAACAGTAAACAACAAGTGCTGCCGAGGTTGGAAAAAAACACTATGGAATTCAGTTCTTCTTGGAAAATCATGGAGCTGTGTGAGTTGGAATCAACCTAATGGCAACTGGCTTGGTGGAAAGGACAGGGAGCTCTGATGGCTCAGTCCACAGGGAAGTGCTCTACTGACCCTCAGGTGGCACCTCACGGTGGTTTGAATCCATCATAGGCGGGGAGATGGGCGGTCCTACACCCTTGTGATTAACAACCTCGAAAAACCCGCTGCAGGGTCAGTTCTGTGTGGATTCTGACTCAACAGCCGTGAGTTTGAAGTTTGAAAAGCATGCCAACCCAATTGAAAAATGGGCACAGGATATGAATCGACACTTCACCGAAGAAGACATTCAGATGGCCAACAAGCACGTGAAGAAATGTTCAAAATCCCTAGCTCTAGGAGAGATGCAAATCAAAACAACTAGGAGATATCATCTCACTCTAGTCAGAATAGCAAAATTTAACAGAACAGCAAGCAATAAATGCTGGTGAGGCTGTGGAGAAACTGGAATCCTTATTTGCTCTTGGTGCGAGTGGGAAATGGTGCATCCAC